TCGCTTTCCCTTCCCTCACCCCTCTCTCTCTTTCGCTTTCCCTCTCCCTCACCTCTCTCTCGCTTTCCCTCCCCTCACCCCTCTTTCTCTTTCGCTTTCCCTCCCCTCACCCCTCTCTCTCTTCCGCTTTCCCTCCCCCTCACACATCTCTCTCTCTTTCATACATACACATACCCCTCTCTGTCTGTCTGTCTCTCATTTGGTTCTTAAGAGAGTCAATATCATATCAGATATGTTCCTGTGTATGGAAAAAAGCTCGGATATTTCTTTTTAACTATACAGATGAGCTTAAGGGGCATAGAGTATATAAATCGGTCAGCACTTAATATTTTGAGCTGCGTTGTTTAAATTTACTTTTTTTAAATTTATATTTTTTATTGTTTTTATTTTCGCTTTGGAAGAGAGAGCTCTTGTCCTGATAATGCCATTTACATGACAATATTTTTATGTTTTCTTATCGGCTTTATATTATCATGTTTAATAACTTAATTCACTTAATTCACTTTACGAGATTTCTCTTAAAATTCAAAATATTCGCTGCTATCAAAGCCAGATCACATCACATCACTTTATATAAACATGCTATTGATAATTCACAAAATCGAAGAAATTAGTCGAGACATCGTGGGTTTGAAAGATAAAGTTTCCAAATATTCCTAGTGCTTCTATCAAAAATGAAAAAGTTCTCAGTGTTCTTGGTTTATTTCTTTGAGCTCTGAATACAGAATGAACTAGAAATATATCTAACGCATTTCCGTCGTAAAATTTAGGCATAGCTAGGCTTCTCTGGTTAAAAGATAAGCACAATAGACACGAGATGGGCCTCTATTAACGAATTGCAGGCTTGTTTTCAGGCTAAAAGGGTGGAGTTTAAACGCTGACGTAAAATAGCACAATGCTTAGCCAAAATCTTTAACGCCTCTCCCAAGCATAGGAAAAAAAAAAACCGTGTTAGTACTTTTCTTGATCTACCAAAGATGGTTCTAGTTGTTTCAGTACGCGATTAGACCTAAGCACAAATAGTGATATCTGCTAGATCTACATTGTCGTATAACTGTTTTACCTGATGCTCCATTTTGATACACACCACGTTGTTTGGGAGATTTCCATGTGTCAGTGGTTATTTTTAGGAAGCTGAGCTTTTTTATATCTTTATCTCCTCTTTTTCTTTCAAATTTACAGTGTCGTCTCGTCCTTCTTGTGTTCAAAATCATAAAGTCATCTTTATTAATAGTAACTTCACTCTTCCTGTAACATAGCTGAACAGCAAAGTGGTAAATCCTATTTACTGTAATCCATTGTCATAGTTCATCTCTCTGAGAGTAGGTGCCAATTTTGTTGCTCGTTGAACTCTTTCCAATCTGTCTCTATTTTTTGAAGTGTGGACTCCATAGCACTGTACCGTACTTTAGACTAGGTCTTATGATGGCTGTAATGATCTTTACCATATCTTTGTCCACATACATGGTTTTGAATTCCATTTTCCAAGTACAAATATACATGAATAAGTTCTCGATGTCACTTTGGAGGGATTGGCATGAGACGTCGTCAATTGTCCTTTTATGTATTTCCGCGTCGTCTGCAAGCATATTCAGATAACTACTTGGGCTTATGTTTGAGCCTAAATCATTGATGAAGAAAGCAAACATAATCGGCGCCAATGCTGATCCTTAAGGTGCTTCCCTCTAATTAGTTAGTGCATGTACACACGAACACACACACACGCACATATATATTTATACTCGTATGTATATATATGTATGTACGTAAGTATATATGTATGTACGTAAGTATACACACACATGTATGTATATATATGTGTATGTATGTATACATATGCACACAAACACACATATGTGTGTGTGTGTGTAAGTGTAAGTGTGTAAGTATATGTATATGATTCCCTTTAAAGCATACGGGACAGGTGATAAATCCTGACACGAATGAAAGCTATTGGAGATTTTGTTGCACTATTCTGTTTTGAATAGAGAGATGTGCAAATAGGGTGTTGGGGGAACTTTACCCAATCGGCACGTATGGCAAGAATACATGCCATGCCCACTACAAGTTTATTTATTGTATTTACACATAGATGGCTTTAAAAGTGCTTACTCACCAAGGAGTCAATTATTAGTCCAATTTAATAATCATAACATCAATAGCAATAATAACAATAGTAACGATCTCAACTTTATTAAAAAGAAAAACACATTTTCCCGCCAATTCAAGGAATGGGGAAATCGGGATCGGTCAACAGGGCCTACTAATAGACTCCTTCCTGGTTGAGCACATGCAGAGCCATCTGTAGGTAACAAAATTCACAAAAAAAAAGAAAAAACTACAGGGGACAGAACATAAATTCGGGGCGGGTGGGTTAAATTCGTTTATTCGTGTTACGTGATATTCCATTTTATTTTTCCATGGTGCATTTTTTCCGACTTGCTAATTCAGGCCAGCCTTATTTTAACATCTGGTACGAGGGGAGTTTTCTCCCTATCTCTCTTATCTCTTTGTGTGTGATTTTGTGTTTTTGCTTGTTGTTTGCGCCACTGGCGATCTATATTGATACAATAGTTATTGAAACTCTCTAATAGAACACTACGTTAGTCCTTTTCCTTATAATAAGAAAAAGGACTTACGTAAAAACAAAGGAAAGCAGAAACGGAGTTAAAAGGAACAATAGTACAAAGAAGGATAACCAAAACAGAACGTGTTTATTACTTGTAAGCCAGGCCTACCGTTTTACAATCGGAATCAGAATAACGTGCATAGCATCTGGAAATAGTATACCTTTTTTAAAACGTGTTTCTTTCCAATGCAGTATCAAAATTAAACGTTTATTGAAAGTTATACTCAATCGACTAGTTATTGGTTGAATGGTTATGGTTGAAAGCAATTGTATCCAGCATTGAACAAATTAAATTCCCATTCGTCTCATATACATGCTGATTTAGATTCACCCATTTTATCCTATTTAGGTATTTCAGTGGGTTCTTGGTAGAAATTTATAACATTACTTTTGGTTCTATGCTTCTTAGAAAAGTGATTTGTTTTGGGAGAGAGGGTTTTAATTTTAACGTAGGTATCCTTTCAGGTAAAACATCCATGTATACACCTTCTGTATTTTTATAAATATACTTGCATTGTTTAGATGCCTCAGAGTCACACAAAGTGGTCTATGTAATTTGAAAAGAAAGCAAGTTATCTGTGAGTGTCATACCTTTCTGTATATACTTATTGATTTGATTTA